CCCCCCCCCGTCGCCAAAAAAATTTCGGTCAGTGTACCATTTTAGGGGTCAAAAAAATTTTCCGGACAACCAATATTTTTCGAAACGTAACACAAATTTTCGAAAAATCACAAAATTTGCCAAAAAATTTAATTAATTTTACACAAAATTGACAGAATTTGTCCCATTTTTTTTTATTGCAAACCGAAATTGCCCGACTGTTGATCGAATATTGCCCGACTGCTTGGGGGGGCTACCGCCCCCCCGCCCCCCCGCCCGGTACGCCTATGGGTATTACTTATGAGGTAATTGGAATTTAATCGGAATTAAGTCACCAGAAAAGTTCGTGGATATTAATTTTGTACGCCATTTATAAAGTCAGGTGTGAGAGACCTAGGGTTTTGAGAGGGAGTTAGGACCAATGAATATCTATAATATAAATAGAGTTGAGGCTCCCATAACTAATCAGGGTTGGAGGTCCGAGAAGGCGGTATGTTTTTTAATTCCACTAGTAATGCACAAGGCTACACGATGTGAAATACTATGTTCATGACATAAAAAACTGACTTATGATAATTTCAAACAACACAGCCGGCGGCAATGGAAACAAGTTGTCCAAGCCACAACGTGCACCAGAGGCACAACAGCAACACAGAGAGGATCGCCACGGTAACAACACCTTTTCCAATAATGTGAACACAGGTCCATGGTTATGCGATCACTATAAGAGACGGTGTCTCGTGAAATTCGACTGTTGTGAGAGGTATTGGCCATGCCATCGTTGCCACAACAACAAGAGTAACTGTGGTCGAAAGAAGTTGAAATCCCGTGACAACCGTATGATAAAGTGCGTTTCTTGTCAAAGAGAACAACCGGTATGTGTACTAAAGATATTTTAGTTTTGCCAATCAAACAAAAATCTTGGTTTTTGTAATACTTTGTTAATTTAACATGAATTTAAGCTACCGCGGTGATGTCTGAGGTACCTGAAAAAGATTAAGATTAACACTTCGGGCAGGCTCGATCCAGCCGTTGGGCGCCCAACCGCGCGATGTCAGGAGGTTATTGCCGAAATAGAATATTATTAAACCTAAATAGAATATCTCACCCACGTGTTTGGGCTGACCGCAGCAGCAAAACATTGGAATGATCAATGTACCTCTATACGCCTTTTTTACTTTTATAAATGCATGTACCTCTGCATTTCGGTGTGCTATTACTAAGTATTTATAGGCCTTAAAACTATAATTGCTTATGTTTCGCAGTTCAACGAGACTTCACAGTTCTGCACTGGATGTGGTATTAAATTTGCTGAATACTTCTGCGGAAGATGTAAACACCTCACTGGAACAGATGACAAGCCATATCACTGTGAAAAATGTGGAATTTGCAGGTACGAAAGACGAAGAGAAAAATTTAGTAAGTAGTCAAAAAATAATTACAAAAAAATCAAGGTCTGGTAAATGTATATAGATTTCCAATCGATAATTTCCATCTACAATATGTACCCTTGAACTATTATTGTTCAATCGAGTGAGATGCCAACAAAATCTTGATATTTACCCATAACCTAACATGGCAGTAACCTAGTATATATACATGAACTTGTGGTTAGAGAGCTCACAACTGGCTTCTGTAGCTCAGTTGGGTTATATAGAGCGCTGCACCGGAATCGCAGGGCCGCAGGTTCGATTCCTGCCAATTACCTAAAGTTGTATTTTTCGCAGCTGTTCCTGGCTAGGTCTAATAAATGTATATAAACTTACACTCAATAATTTCCATCTACAATACCCTTGAACAATAAAAAACATTTAAATGTATATACAGGGTGTCTCAAAAAAAACCAAAATCATTGAAATAACGTATTGTTCGAATTTCAATGCCGTAACACAAAGGATTTTGACAGGGTGATTAATTTGTTTTAAAAAATTAAAATATCTATGTAAAGTGAACGTTTGTTTGCTCATGGG